TATTCTTACCTGAAATAGAATCCGTCACTGTCATAAATAAGTTTGTCAAAGTTATTTTCGAAAATGATACAACGAACAAACACAGCTGATAATTTTGACTATATTAACCTTTTTCCAACTCGAAAAGAAGCAAATAGAAAACGGGTACCCAATTCAACTTCAGAATGTATTACAATGGACAGCAGATGCGACAAAAGTGAGTCTCGCAGCAATTGCAAGTATTAAAATTCCCATCTGATTGGTCAATACTACTTCAGAAACGCGTTTGTGAAATGCTAGTGGGAACATATTTTAAAATTCAATAGTAATTAACCACCAGTAGCTTTTTGTAGGTGATATCGACGACATAATCAATAGACATACGTTTTTTGCCACCAATATCACGTGACTTTTAAATGGTATTTGTCGGACTTTAAATACTTTCAATTTAAAAAGTACTTCAAGTCTCAAGTACTTTAATTTAGTACTTGATTTTTTCAAGTAAAATAATTCAAATACTCTAAGTATTCCAAATACTTAATTAAATATTTGAAATACCTATGTGTATTTGAAATATTAAGAAGTACTTCAAGTACCCACTAAAAAGGAATTCAAATTATTCAATGAATTTTTTTTTAAATTGTATTGAATGCAGAAAATATACAGGGTGTTCCTAAACATCATGTACAAACGGAAGGGGATGATTTTTTGGTTTATTTTATGACTAAAATTTCTAATAAACATCGGTCTGTAAACGCTTCATTACCACTCTACAGGGTGTTCAAATTTTAATGTATTCATATTGAAAATGAGCAAGAATATGGCGGCGAAGGCATGTGGCTTAATTCTAGATTCCTATTGAAAATGAGCAATAATATGGCGGCGGGACCTCTATTGTCGTCACTGTAGGTAGAAAAGATTCATTGAGTTACTGTAGTTTCATCTAGCAAATTACAGAGATTTGTCTCTTAATTGTTTTCTCGATAAGGGTCGGTTATACGAAAAAACTACAAGAGAACAAAAAGTTTCTGAATAAGGTAGAAAAATTATTTTGTTTTTTAGAATCTACCAGCGGCGCATCGCAAAAAAGTTCAGGGGCAGAAAAGGGGGCATGACCGCTGAAAAAACATCACCCTGTAAATTCTGGCAAACGTTTGACACGTGCAATCATTTAGCGCCCATTGCGTACCTAACCTATAATTCAAATTTGAGCTAAATTCCTCAAATATTGCAGGAGCTATAAAGAAAAAACTAAAAAAAATATTGAAATTTCAACACCCTGTAGATTGGTAACCAAGCGTTTGCGGACCTATGTTTATTAGAAATTTTAGTCATAAAATAAGCCAAAGAATCCACCCCTTCCGTTTGTACATGATATTTAGGAACACCCTGTATATTGTAATACTTCTTAAAAAGTACTACAGAGATTCCAGATTCCAAGATTCCAGTTGCAGATTGTAGTTACTTTCAATTTAACGATTTAAAATTTATCTAGAAAAGGTTGATTAAGAAATAAAGTGCAGTGAAATTGTTATGCCTTCGAGGTGTGTTCACTATTTCTGCAAAACTAAAAAGTCTTTCTACAGGGGCTGATGACGGAAGACACGTATTGTAGGTAGGTACCTATGAAAAACTTCTTTTATGAAAGGAAACCTATCCAAGCATTTTATATCTATCCTCTGCATATTGAAGAATTTCCAGTTCGAATTTTCTTTTTATTTTAAAGACTCTCTAAGGAGTGGAGGAACCATCCAGTTCATAAAAATCGTCGGTCATATCTCTGCTGTAGGACATGTTGATTTCACATTTGGTGAAGTATTTGAATTACTTTCTGAGGTATTTCAAATACCTTTTATTTTCTGGGATATTTGAAATATTTCAAGTATTTTGAGTACAAATGTCCAATATTTGAATTACTTTTTTTGTAAATCCAAGTACCATATACAAATACTTTATTTAAAGTAATTGCAGAATCAAGTACAAATATTCAAAAACAAAAGTATTTGAATTATAGTACTTCAAATACTAAAAAGTAATTGAAATACATTTTCCAAGTAATTTACTTGAAGTACTGACAGCTCTGGTCTAGAGGAGTAAATGTTTTTTTGCTTTACGGAATATAAACTTAGTAAATCTAATAGAGGTTCAATTTAAGACGTATCAATACCTAGCCATTATCAAATGGTAGATTTGAATGTTACAGTTCCTATACATTTTTCTAAAACGCACGCATTTTGAAGAAATAATAAAAAAAAATAGTTTTTTTTTTACAAAGTTTAACACCCTGTGGGGATTTGTCAGTTGCCTTCATCGGGTGCGTCCCTATAGGAATTAGGGGAAGCTCGCTGGGTCTGTAATCCAACGGATTCAGAGGATAGTGGGAAAATAAAATACCCACCGTGAAACAAAAACTGACCCGGTCCTCCAGGATGGGTGTTGAGGCATTAGACTGGTTCTCTAATACTCGGAAAAATACAAAACTACAAAAAAAAAACTAAGCGAAGCCTCGGAACATCGGACGGACGAAAGAGTCGGCTTTAAGCAGGAGTTCTTTGACAAATTGGATGAAATCCGAGTAGATATTGGAAGAAATAAAGAAATCATAATGATAGGGGATTTCAATGGAAGAACGGGAAGGACGAATAATAGCCCAGTTGTAGGACCATTTGGAGAAGAAATAATCAATGATAATGGCCAAAGGCTCATACATCTTTGTGAGACCCACAATAGAATAAACAATGGATATTTCAAACACAAAGATATTCACCGCTACACATGGATACAGAATACCCGTAACCTGAAAACTATTATTGACTATGTGATGAACAAACAAGGAACAAACAGAGATAAACGGCGTAAGAGTCCTAAGAGGAATAACTTGCGGGTCAGATCAATTTTTAGTAAGAGCCAAAATAAAGTTGCAATTTAGAAAAATGAACAACAATCCAGAGCAACAAAACACGAATGCCATACTAACGGACACAGTGGATACAACAACGTACAATTTTTACAGTTTTAGAGATGACAGCACTGTATTTCTATATCAGAGGCGGCTCGATAGTAAACTATTGAACCCTGAAGAATGTATACCACCAATAAACTTTGAGAACATTAAAGGGAGTTTAATAGAAGCCACCCAAAAAGCAATAGGAACGAAGGAAAAAAATACCAACAAGAAATATTGGTGGAAAGATACAGCTATTAGTCCAAGAGAAGAAGCAAAAATATCTGAAATGGCTAACAAAAAACCTTGAAGTTTATAAAGACACAAAAAGATAATTAAGAACGTGCATCACTATAGCTAAGAACGAGTCATGGGATAAAAAATGTGAAGAAATTAACACCTACATAGGAGGAAGGAAATGCTCAGAGGTATGGAGATTTATATCAAATGTCAAAAACCTAGGAAAGGACAGAGCTAATACCCAGATTATGAAACCAGAGCAATGGATAGAACACTACCAGGGTCTATTACAAAGAAAGAAAGTACGGTAGAATCCTAAATAGAAGTCTAAATGGAATATTATGGAGCAAGGAAATAACAAAGAAGAGAAAATTCAATATATACGAGACATTGATGAAGAGCAGCCTTCTATATGGAGCCGAGACTTATAGAATTACAGACAGACAAAAAAAAGGGGGGGAAGCAGTTGAAATGGATGCTATTAGAAGATCCATGCGAATCTCACGAAGAGAGAGAATAAGGGACGACAATATAAAACAACAAATGGGAATAGAAGGCACGATAGTTCAGGACATTGAAAGAAAACAACTTACCTGGTACGGACACGTAGAACGAATGCCAAATGCAAGGTGGCCCAGAAAAATGCTGCATTAGCAACCAACGGGTAGAAGAAAACGAGGAAGATCAAAACTAGAATGGCAGAAGACCATACAAAAGTCCATGAGTGAAAGAAATCTCTCATCAGAGGATTACGACGATAGAAGAGGATGGAAATTAGGTGTCGGACAACGAAGGAAGACGTTCTAAAATGACATGTATATATATCTGGAAAGCGAAGCATTTCCGGACACATGTTTATCTAAAAACAAGCTTAATTATTACGAGATCTACCATCCCTAGAGGTTTGTAACTAACCTTCCGTGACACCCTGTATATATTTTATTTTACTTTGGTATATCATTTATCATATTATTGTTGGGTTGGTTGCAATTAGTTTAGCGTAGCTTGGTATGAATATGATTTTGCTACTTTTTCAAATTTTAATTTGTATTTTTTCTGAAGAACGAAGAACCAAAATTGTTCAATTACCTATTAGACATTTGATTTAGATTAAAATTTTCCCTGGTGTTACAGCATCGTTACAACAGCACCTTGGTTCAAAACAGTCCAAGTATTTTAAATATGCCTAGAATATTTATTGAATTTGTGCGAATCTTTGTTTATGAATCCAAAATCGTATACCTGCATAATAATTGTGGTTTCACGCTGCAACAATTTGTGGTTAAACACAATTCATTGTTTAAAAAGTAAATTAAAAATGTTTAAAATATATTATCTGTTTTGTATTTTTATGAATCATGTACTTAACAATTTTTTGAGAAAAAAGGATTTTTAAAGCACACGAATTCATTTAAAAATGTCCATTTTTACGATCACAGGACTGGATAGCAGACACTTTTTGGGCGCATCTGGGTATAGGGAAACTTTGGGAAGTATAGATGATTCAAATGGATAATAATGCAGTGCTGATCTTTTAGAATATTTAGTTGAAAGTACACTTAATAGTTAATTGTTATGGATCAATTTTAAATAAAAATTTGTAATTTTGATGTATAATATGCTATATAAGAATAGCAATAAGTCCTACAAAAAATGTTCTCAAATTTCGATCTTATTAATTTTTAGTTCCTTATAAGTTTGAACTAGGTAGGTACTAGGAAAATTTCTCTTTTAGTATATCTTTAACTTTGTAATTGTTAAACTAAGACAATTTATAAAGAATAAATAAATTAACTAAATTTTAAATAGGTAATAATAAATTGATATAGATATTTACCGGTTGTGTAGTCACACCAAAAACACTAAATCCTGCACCAAGAAACACCACAAAAAAATTCCAAAATTCCAACATTTTGTCCAAAAAATGATCGTCCGCTTACCACTAAATACGACCACGGTCACCCCAGGAGCGCACCGACGATTTGACTTTCGCGGATGGATGCTGCAAAGTGCCCCAGAGAATTAAATCAAGACGACGAAGAAGGATGATGCCGCGGAATCCTGCGGGTGGGTCACCAGGTCACCAGTCACGAGGACTTGGAAATGATGGCAGCGTGGGGGGAATACCCATAGAACACCCATATTACCATTCCATATCCGATGCTTGACGCGGCGCCTTAAACATGTAACATGTCTCTGCAAGGTCGATTTGTTCATTGTCGCCCTAATGGCGGTGGATTATAGGTGGTTTTAATTGTTCGAGGTCGAAAGAATTGTATTCATTTGAAATTATTCGGTTTTTTTTTTCCAAAAATTTTAATTTCTAGCTTGGAAACGTTTCTGAACCTATGTGCATAGGATTTTTTTTTTCTTATTTTGATGAGTTATACCCACCCTTAATGAATTTTGCAACCCCATTACTGAAACACTCTGTATATTTTTTCAACCTTCTGTGAAAAACCATTTCTGTTTAAAGGAGAACATACAAGAACAGTTTTTTACAAATATTGTTAGTGGCAAAATAGCTTACCTACCTAATTTCCAACATTAACATTTTGATTCACCTGGCTGGCGTCCTTGGCAAAATTAGCATTTATCCATAAATTATAGGAATAATTTTGCTTTTTATTAACACGTTTTCCAGTTTGAACAACATGTGCTGTCGGCCTGTAAATTTGAAATTTATTGATTCTATAAACTAAACTATCGCCGACAGTGGACATTTGAACTACTAATATGGCTGTATGAGTATTTTTATATAATTTTATCATCGTCTGACGACAGCGTGTGTACCTTTTGTCTTTGATGGATCATGCATGTAAGTTCAACCCGAGGCTAACATTAGTCTTTTTTCATGTACTTATTTATTCATTAGCGTATAAAAAAATACATCATTTGAAGTAGTACAAAATTTAAATCTAAAAATCTAACCATAAAACAATTCTCTTGGCCGGCGTCTTGAATTTATCTTCAGATGAACCAAAAAAGTCAAGACCCTCATAGAACTTATTTACATTGGCAGATATTCTATTAACAGGACCGAATAGTAAGTCCCAAGTGCGACAGTAAGGAATGTGCAGTAAAAATTTACTTCGTCTCCGATAACTTTGAGTGTGTAGATAAAAGTATCCAAGATATTCGTGGCTTTTTATGTAGTAGTTTAGGATATTAAAAGTGAAACACAAAGTATTCCCTTCTGCGAACAAGAGTAGTTAAGTCTAAGTGAGTCATAGTCTGTTCAACGCTGAGAATCACACCACTCAGAGACAGTTTATACCTAGCAAACTTGATAAATTTGTGTTGAACACTCTCAAGCCTATTGATGGGGATCTGATAGTAAGGTGACCAAACTATGCAAGAAAATTTAAGAAAGGATCTGACCAGTGATGTGTAAAGAATTTTGATGGGGCGTAAACTTGTAAAGTCCCTAATAGCTCTATTAATAAAACCCAACATTCTATAGGCCCTGCAAATTACCACTTCAAAATGCTTGGTGAACATTAACCTAGTATCTAGATAGACACCAAGATGTTTAATGATAGAAACTTCAAACAAGCGAACATGACCTAAGCAATACTGAAAGGGAACCTTACAGGTGAGTCTACTGAATCCTATACAACAAGACTTATCAATGTTGGGGAACATGTCATTAAGCTAACACCAATCATAAACAATGTTAAGATCGTCTTGTCACCTGACCATACAACTTCAAGTCATCAGCGAAGAGTAAAAAATTTGAGGAGAGCAACGATCCTAAATCATTGATAAATAAGGTGAATAGAAGGGGGCCCAAGTGAGAGCCTTGGGGTACCTCAGAGGATGCATAGGAAAGAGAAGAACGATAGACATCGATCTTGACTTGTTGCATTCTGTTAGTAAGGTAAGATTTCATCCATGAAAGTAAGGGTCCAGAAACGCCATAACTTGAGAACTTTGAAAGAAGGATGTTATGGTTTACCTACCTTATCAAAGGCTTCACTGAAGTCAGTATATATTATTAGGTACATGAGTTTCTGCATTATTAACAAATGATGAATTTATAGAATTTGTAAAAAGAAAGAGGTTCGTATCAACAGATCTACCGGCTGTAAACCCATGCTGTTGACTGATCACGATCTGATGAAATATTTTTGAAAGAATATTTTCAACGCACTACTCAAATAATTCAGGAATCGCAGACATTATGCTGATAGGTCTGTAGTTTGTTACATCATTCTTGCTGCCCGATTTGTGAATAGGACAAACATAATATGAGAGCTTCCACATTTCTGGAAAAATTCCAGATACAAAGTGTCAGAAAAAGATTTTAGTATACTTTGTTAGGAATACCATCAGGTCCTGCAGACTTGTTGATGTCCACTTGCTTTAAAGCCCTCTCAATATCGGTTGGGTCTATGACAATGCTTGAAATATTCTCAAATCGATCAGCAAAAGTTCTGTCGTTAGAGGAATACACACCAAAAAGGTTAGCTATGTCAACACCGTTGGACGCTATTTCTGTAGCCAGAAACATTTCCTTAGGAATAGTACCCTGATTGGATTGGGAATGAACAAAGTTCCAGAAAACTTTCACATTAGTGCCTATAGCCCTTTTAGTATCACTTATGTATAATTTGTAGCACTCCTTGGTGAGGTTTTTACAATCCCTCCAAAGTGTGTTAAATGCAAAATAATCCACTTCACTATTCGACTGCTTGTATTGTTTATGAGGAATCTTCAGGTTTTTTAGTTCGTAAGAAAACCAAATAGGAAATTTATCGCTGTAACAATGTTTCTTTCTGGGAACAAACACATTAAAGCTGTCGAACAGCATCAAGTAAAAGTTATTAACAGTTTCGTTTACATCCTCAGTCATAATGAAACGCCAATCAGAAATTTAGCTTTATCAACAAGTATGGAAAACTCCAGAGCTGGGTGATAACGATCACAGACTACCAGACCGTCAGATATTACAATTGAAACAAGCTCAAAGTTGGCAAAGCATAAATCCAGGATTGAACCATGATCGTTAGTCATCCCATTGTATTGAGACAGATTAAGAGAGGCAGTACCATCGCATAACAATATTTTCTTAGTTGAGCTTACATTTCCAGGTAATAAACCAGAGAGATCCTCACTAGTGGACCACGTTATTTGAGAAAGATTATAATCTCCCAGAACAAGTACATTATCAAACATTTCAGACGCACTCGCAACTGATTTTAAGTGGTTTTCATAATACGAAACATCCATGGTAGGTGGAATGTAGACACAGCCAATACAGAAGACCAAATCACCCAGCGTCACTGACACCCATGTTCTCTCCATCGATGCTTCATCAATTGACAGACGATGAGATTTAAAGACTCGCGGCTACAGACAAAAATGCACTCTGGCTCCTTTGATTTCGAGGTTATGTTCTAATCTCTTTTTTCCTTGTCTGGTTCTAAGGGGCTTGACTTGATTTTTTGTTTACGTTTACTATTTAGTATATTGGTGACTCGTTTCAAGTTTCGAATCGAAAAGTTGTTTAGTTTGTGTTATCGTTTATTAATACCATATAGATACCATAAAAAAGTATGGAATGTACTGAGTGCAGTCACCGGGTCAGTTTTTCCAATAAATCTAATTTGAGAGCTCATTTGAAAAAAATTCATCCTGGTAGGTTTCTAACCATAATGATTTTCATGTTTTAATCGAACGGTTTCTGTTTCCTGCAATTTCAGATAAACTCAACGTAATTGCACCAAAAAAACATTCAAATGTGTCGCAATATGTAACAAATGTTCAAAAAGGTTCGAATTCGAATTTAAAGAGGCACGTTACTGAATTTCATCCAGGTAGGTAAATATATGGTAAAAGTATTTAATACTAAGGTCCGTTTCCCCAGGGTTCATACTTGACCTTGAAACTTAAAAAAAAAGGGTTGTCGTAGATCGATTCATATGACACAAGCAATTTTTTTTGACAAATTAAAATGAATGACTTTTGGTTAAGAACCGACAAACGTTTTTGACGTCAGTGATTTATTTCAGTCAATTTTTATTTGTTAAACAAGGAAGGTAAATGCTGGTGGCAAGTACAAACCCTGGCGAAACAAACTTTACCTAAGTAAGTTTGGATTTTTTGTTGCTACACTTTATTTTTCCCAAGATAGATTTTGACATTGAAAGCTTTGAAACATAATAGTAGATTATACCACGAGTCAATAATGATAGCTATTATTCCCGAGGATTATTACGAACTGAGCCGCGTTAGCGGCGAGGGAGTAACATTCCGAGGGAATGATAGCCATTATTGCGAGTAGTATACTCTACTTTATTTACGACAAATTAATTTATTTGAGATTTTCAATGAACAAATTTCATCCGTCTCATAATTTTCAATACAAATCCACAAGCACTACACGTTTGACACTGACACTTTTGTGGAATAATGACCATTAATCCCGCTACTCGTCATTAATCCCTGGAGGAATAACATATGTCATTATACTGCCAAAATCACAAATATAATACGCACATTATACATTAGTCGTAAATAAACAATAATGCTTGACCCTAATTGATCGTAAAATGAGGTGTTTCTGCAGGTTGACATCAGTTTTATAATAGCGACCAATAAGCGGCATTAGCGGCATTGTTTATGTTTCAAAGTTGACAATGCCAAAATCTCTCTTGGGAAAAAATAAACTATAGATTGGTAATAGAGTAACTAAAAAAAATGTGTGTTGAACATGGCCGTACTTATAATTATTAAGTAGGGGCATTTTTCAAAATTCTTTTTTGTTTTAGCAAATGTAGATGAGTTGACTTCACCTAAGATTTATCCATATCAATGTAGAGAAAGCCACAAAAATTTTTCACATAGATATAATTTTAGAAGACATCAAAAATCTCATGTAACAGATAATGAAAAAAAGGAACAACTCTTCAAATGTGGTTTGTGTGTTTATACAAATGCATTGAAATCTGATATAATTGTTCATTTAGAAGAATACCATGACATTGAAATAAAAAGGCATGAGCTACACTTTTCCAGTGAATTACAGTTTAAAAACTGGAAAGCTGATTTGGAAAAAAAAAATTATTTCTTTTATGCCATATATGGGACACCATTCACAACTAGGGAAGGCAATAGGAAAACTACC